CGGCCACGGCGCCCTCACGAAAACCGAAAACGGACAATTCACTAATCGACGTGTCACTGTTGGGGGTTCTGTCCACCCCCGATCCCCTGCGCTCGCGGAGCGATGGAACGTCCCCGGCCTGCGGGGGGCGATCGAGCGAGCGTCCATCCGGCCCTGCTGTACACCCTGCGAAATGCTTAAGAAATCATGGGTTAAGAAATTCATAGTCTCAGAACTTGAATAAAAAACCGAGAACTTCGATCGAAATCTTAGGATTTACGTTGAAACATTAAGAAGAATCGAGACTCTGGCCGAAAACTTAAGTTTTCTTAAGCATCGCCTAAGGTGTAGGGCAGCGTCCAGGTGGGGCGGGGCGGAAGGGGGCGACGAAGGCGAGGCGGGGGAGGGGGGGGGGCGCAGGACGGAGGGGAAGAGGACGGATGGTGACCGAGAGGAGGGGCACGAGGCGGCATGCAGTGCCCCCGGACTGGCCCAGGACGCCCCGAGACCGCCCCGAGAGCGCCAGACTGCCCCCGCGCCTCCCCCCCTTCCCCCTCCCTGGACTCCTCCTCCTGCTGCTGCTACTGCGCCTGCTGCTGCGTCCAATGTACTCCTCCTCTGATTTTCTCCTCCTCATGATCCTCCTCCTCTTCTTCTTCCTCCTTATTATTGTTATTCTTAATATGTTTCCTCTTCTTCTCAATCGTCCAGCTCCTCCTCCTCCTCTTCCTCCTGCTTCTCCTCTTTCTCCTCCTCCTCCTCCTCCTCCTCCCGAAAACTTTGCGGACACCCTTGTGGGCCACCAAGACCTGATGACCCCCCGCCCCCCCGAAATTGGACAACAGGTCCCGCCAGGGTCTCCAAGATGTTCAGCATTTCCTGGAGAGCTCCCTCAGGGCACCATCACCTCCTATCCTGAGGTCTGACAGTGCCACGCCTCAGGATAGGAGTAGGTGATGGTCACGCGGGGCTGGGTATCTCGCCAACCTGAATCACCTGCCCGTTGGCAGACCACTCATCGCCAACCCTGCCCGCCTTTTCTCATCCTCCCTCCGAGTTCCTCCGCCCTCTCGTTTCCCGTCCTGCCCCTCAATCCTCCCTGCTCTCTGATCTCCCCATCCGCCTTTCACACCGCCACCCGCCTCCTTCTCGTCTCCCCTCCCCTCCTCCCGTTGTTCCCGCCCCACCTTCCCCTCCCTCACCCTGCCCCTTGCTCCCTCCGCCCTCTCCCCCCGTGCCTCCCTATGTACCTCGCCCCGCGGGTCCACACCCACGATCCCCGCGATTGGATCACAAGAAGACCCCCTCCCTCCTCACCCGATTACGCGTCGTGCGTCGTCGTCCTCGCTCCTCCCTCCTCCCCGCCATCCCTCTGGCCCTTTCCCTTCTCCCTCCTCACCCTCCTCGTGCTTCGCTCCTCCCTCCCTCGCTCGTGCCTCGCTCCCCCCCAAAAATCTGGGAGATGTCACGGGCCCGGGGCCCCCGAGAAACGAGCCCCGAAAATGTTGGGCCCTCCCTGTCCTGCTCCTCCTCCTCCTCCTCCTCCTCCTCCTCCTCCTCCTCCTCCTCCTCCGGAAAGGCATGGAACGAGAATCAGGATGTCGCATGTCTGGGTGTCGCCTGGGCCCCAGAGCCGTGATGACAACGACTTCGGATGCAGAGCTCGCCCGTGCACCCCGGGCGGTCCGAAACTCGTTCCCCTTCCCATCCGCGGTGACAGGACGTGCTGCTGCCGCCGCGCCCTCGGCCAACCGTCGCCCTGGTGCCCCCCGCCACGGCGCAACTGGATGAGGCAGGCTTGAACCCCGTGGGCGTGGTACGTCCAACGCGCTGCCGAAACCATGAGACTGGAGCCCCATCCCGGCGCTGCTGCCGGCTCCGCCCGTGGGCGTGGCGCCCCCCAACGGATTTCGGGGTCCCCCCCGAGAGCGCTGACTCCACTCCGAGCTGTCGTGTTCTTCGGCCTGCCCCTGCTGCTGTTGCTGCTGCTGCTAATCCTCCACGTTCTCTTTCTCATCTGCCTCCTGTTTCTGCTGCTGCTGCTGTTGCTGCTCTTCATGCCCCTCCTCCTCCTGCCCGTCCTCCTGCTCCTGCGACTCCACGTGTTTCTGCTGCTGTTCCTGTTGTTGTTGCCGTCGTCCCTTCCTGTGTTCCTGAAATTGTTGTCTTACTTTTCCTGCTGCAGGTCCTCACCCTCCCTGCCCAACCCCCCCTTCCCGAGAAATTGGGGTTGTGTGGGCGCGCGGGCGCAAATCGGCCAAGCCAAAGCACGCGGGTCGCCGTGCAATATCTGTGGGACAGACGGTGTGCGTGGAGGAGCAAATGATTCGCGGAAGTCTGGGGGGGGGTCCTGGTGACGTCAGGTGGTGTTTCAACTTGGTCTAGGCCGTGCGGCGCGTGCCGTTCGCGGCTGGTTTCTTGAGTCAGCGAAGTTCTAACAACCCACCGATGCGCGACACGCGCTCACATTCGCGCTCTCGCGAAGCCACCTTGGAGAAAGGGCAGCGCTCGCTTGGTGTGACATAGGACTCGCGCGGTGCATGCTTCGTACAGTGGGCAGTGTGAGGTGAAACGCGGGGCGTGTCTCAGGGGGGAAGAGCATCGACCTGGAATCGGCGATATATCGCCGACTGATCGGGGGCAGGCCCCCGATAGCGAAACCGCACGATCCGGGGCAGGATGGGTTATCGGGTCTCTAGCGGCGATGAATGGGCGACTCAAGGTCGACGCATCCCCCCTGAGCCGGTCCCCCCACAATGTTGCCCCTGAGTCATGGGTGGAGGAATCCTTCGACCTTTCTCTGCGCTGTGATGCTCGGGGAGGCGTTGCGGAGGGAATCGCTCTCCAGAGGGGCCTTTCTGGACTCGGCCTCCCCCTCCGTTCGGGGGGAGGCGGGAACCCAGAGGACGCGAGCGGAGAGTCTGTCGTTCTGGTATGCCACGCGCTCCACACCGTGACGCGCACGGCCTGGCTGGGCACCGTCTGCCCGCACGGGTCGACAGCTCTAGTGCGCGCGTAGTCGATGAAGTGCACGACCAGCATGGGCCACAGGAAACCGTGCGCTCGAAATGGCCACCTGCGCATCGTCTCCATGGCCCGCACGTACGACCTCACCATGTTGATGCGCGTGCGGCCAGAGATGCCGTCCTTCGCTCGCTCCAGGTCCATGCAGGACCGCGCCGTTTCCAGCGAGGGTGCTCCCATCTCGACGGGCAGCGTGATCAGGCGGGGCTTCCTTCGCGCCCAGTCTCACGCCTCCAACCCGCGACAGTTCTCCTCCGCTGCAGCGCGGCACCTCCGCGCAAAGCGGGTCCCCGCCATCGCGCGGGCCCCTGGCGGCGGCGGGGCCTCGGACACTCCTCGGTTGGGCGCCGCCGCGAGGTTCGCCACGGCGTCCTCTAGCATGGCCCAGCCAGGGCAGCAGTGGAGCGCCGACAGCCACTTCTGCACTGGCTCCTCGGCCACTGCCTGGCCGCCAAGCCCACGAACTCTCTCAGCGGCCGTCGCCGTCCTCCACGCTGAGGCCCTCGGGCGCCGTAACTTGTCGAGCGTTCCTTCGAACTCGAGCCCGCTCGCCTAGAACGCCAGGCGTGGGCCGAGGATATCGTAGTCGTAAAACACCTTGCTGACCCGCCGCCGGGCGGCCCCGAAGGCGCACGGCCCAAAGGCCAGCAACTGCGCCCAACCGTTATGCAGAATCGGCCGGACGCCTGAGCCCAAATGGCAACAAGCGTCGGGCACAGAAACATGATACACTTTGTTGTTGGCACACGGGGGCGTGCTGGAAAGGTGTTGGCGCTACCGCTTTTTTGCAAGCTTCCGACCGCCTAGTACGGCCCAACAACCTCCAACATCACCCCAAGTAAGCCCAAGAGGCACCCAGGACAGCCCAAGAGGGCCCCAAGACGGCCCACGAGGCCTCCCCAGAGTGTTCCAGAGGCTCCCATGAGGGCCCCAAGAGGGGGAACCCGAACAGACATATCGAGCTTTCCCCGGAAGTTGGCCTCCGAGACCGCCAGTAAGTCCCAAAACAACCCTCAAGAGGCCCCCTGGAGGCCCAGGAGGTTCCAACAATGCCGCCAAGAAGCCCCCGACCCGAGCCCGAGAGGCCTCCAAAGAGACCCCAAGAAGCCTTTCACAGAGGCGTATGTCCGCGACCCAGTTTGGTCCCAACAGTGCCTCAGGAAGCCGTCCAGAGGCCTCCTCCTCCTCCTCCTCCTCCTGGGAGCCTGAAAGCTTGAAGGCAGAAAAAGCGACGAACGTTGCCCTCCACCCGCCAGGGCTGGTCGGCTTGGGGGGCTGATCAAGCTAGTGAGCCAGGTGACTGGTCCTCCTCCTCCTCCTCTCCTCCTCCTCCTCCTCCTCCTCCTCCTCCTCCTCCTCCTCCTCCCTCCTCCTCCCCCTCCCCCTCCCCCTCCCCCTCCCCCTCCCCCTCCCCCTCCCCTCCCCCTCCCCCCCCCCTCCCCCTCCCCCTCCCCCTCCCCCTCCCTCCCCCTCCTCCTCCTCCTCTCCTCCTCCTCCTCCTCCTCCTCCTCCTCCTCCTCCTCCTCCTCCTCCTCCTCCTCCTCCTCCTCCCCTCCTCGCCCGCCATGGGCATACCACCACATAGCAACAGTGGTGCGATACGGGCCGGCGGAGTGAGCGAAGCTGTGAGTTATGACAAAGACAAGCGTCGTACTGATGAACCGTCGGAGCTCCGCGCGGATTTCTTCGGTCGGCGCCAGAACCCCCTCCGCTTGTGCGCGGAGCGCGCCGGGGGCGGCGCTGAAGGCGTCTCCAGAGGGGGGTCCAACGCCGAGCCAAGAGATCCGCGCGGGCCTCCAAAAGTTCATGCTTATGCAGAATCAGTTCTTGTTCCTTGAAAGAAAAAATAATTGCGAGACGGGTGCGGGAGCGCGCACCCCCCTCCCAGGGGATTCCACTTCTCGGCCGTCCCGCAAGCCCGACAAGGCCCGCCCGCGGCCGCGCCTGCTTCACCACTGTGCCGTTCACCCGCAGAATCGCGTCGCGCGAGGGCTTGATCAGCACCAAGCAGGGTGGCTCCCAGGCGATCTCGAAGAGGCAGTCCTCAGGACTTTCGAGTATCAGAGAAGTCCATGAGTGACCGCAACACAAGAACATATACTGTTGAGTATTCGTTTTCGGCGCAACCAGCAGGATGAGAAGAGGCCGAGCAAAGCTGGATCGAAGACGGTGACGCCGTCCTCGCACGCGAATGCCGCCATACCGAGAGAAGTACACCTTAGTACCGATCACTAGTCGAAGAGAGCTGAGGATATAGACACCGAGCAAACTGAGGCTCGATGGAAGATCGACGACATGATGACTCGACAAGTCAATCCTGGGAACAACGCGCGCGACAAATCTGAAGCCGATCCAGAGCATATAACACGATGCTGCCGACGTCGGGCTGCAGAGATGGTTGAGAGCGTTGCAGACAACCTACGGCAGGTTCGTGTCGTGCCGACCCCAGCGTTGGTTTTTGACACCGCAGGGATCATTCAACCTTGAACGATCGGCCGCTGCCGCAACGTCCGATCGTTCAACATCGATCGATTCTGGGTCGCCGGCGGCGTTCAACCTTGAACGCCCGCGCTGGGGTCGCCGCTGGTCGACACGACGCAAACCTACCGTAGTTGAATCTGTCTGAGCATGTACTGCCAGAATGGGCGGCCGCAGTCCACCATACTCGGGACTCTGGGCAAAGGGTCCTCCGCTTAGCCAGCGCAGAGGCGATAGAGGCAGGGCGAAAGCAGGGGCCGAGTCATGGGCAGAATGAGTGAAGACGAATACGAATGAGAAGCAGTGTGCTTGTGTAGGTGTGTATATATAATATATATGTATAACATATTTATTCATACTAGAATCACGCGCGCGCGCTTAACGCGCTTAGATTCTAGCCCAACCCATGACGCTGTGATGACACGAAAGTGGGGGTTTTGCGGGCGACTCGCTGTCGCAGAAGAAGTGCGGCCGACTTGGGCTGGTTATGGGATGTCTCAGGGCTTCCTTGGACTGGCTTTGGGGCTTTTTAGGTACTGTCTTGGCGGGGGAGCAAATCTCTTTGGCCCCAATGGTGCCGTCCGGGTTGCCAGATCTTTGTCTAGACGAGCACCACATGGTCATGCAATTCAAACGAGAGCCCCGTTTTCGAAAGGATGTGCGATGCATGCCTCCAGCCACGAGTGTCAGCCAAAAAAACAACCCTGTTTTGAAACACCGACGCCCTCATTCCGTGCAACGTGTCTCCAACTTCAATAGCCTGGCCTTGACACCTGCGGAATACTCAAACGAGAAACCCGAATTGACCAGGAACCGCCCTCCATCTGTGTAGCTGATGGACAGCCTTTCATGTCTGAGCACGAAGAATACGGTTGGAGAGAGAACCGTCTTCCATCCGTGTAGCTGTTGGTGAGTTCTTGGGCACACGAGCGCGACGATAAAACCAAAACCACATTCTGGAAGTGCCGACCCCTCCATCCGTTTGATGGTCGAAAGCGCGTAGTGCCAATAAGCGCGGCGCTGAGGCCACAACCGCATGTTGAAAAGACATCGCCCTCCATCCTTGTAAACACTGCAGACTGTAAACACGAATGTGCGATGCAATGAAGCGAAGACCTCATTATGACAACGACCTGTGCCCCATCCGTGTAACGGGTTGGGAACTTGAAAAAGAATGTGCGCGCGGTGCCCGAACAACCACATGTTGACACTCACCCTCCATCCGTGTAACTATTGAGAATTCTTAGCGGCGCGAATACGCGCGACACTAAAACGAACCATACTTTGAACAAGAACCACCCTCCATCCGTGTAAATGTTGGGAACTGTTCAGACTAAGGTGCGCGACAACGACCTGTCCTCCATCCGTGTAAATGCTGGGAACTTGGAAACCGACCATGCGCGGCGCTAAGGCCAAAATCATATTTTGGCACATCCCCCCTCCATGCATGCAACTGTCCGTTCTTTGACTCGAATGCGTGAGTCGCTAACGCCAGAACCTCATTTTGAAAAATGAGCCGCCCTCCGTGCAAGTGTCGGAGACTGCGACAAAGCAATGCACTGAAACGAAAACCACACTATTACAACACGACGGCCTGTGCTCCATCCGTGTAAGTCTGGAAGAATTGAAAACGAATGCGCGCTGCGCTGAAGCCAGAACCGAATGTTGACCCTCTCTCAAGCATGTAACCGCTGGGAAATTGTGTGACGAATGTACGTGTCTATTAAACCAGAAACACATAGAAACTTCAACTTCGGGATCGAAAGCGAGAAGAAGCACCTGGCGAAACGCCAGGTCCGCCCTACTTACTGACACGTCTGATGGTCAGAAGGGGAGCGGCTATCTCGAAGGAGAAGGGATGGAGGGAGGAGGGGGGAGGAGGAGGAACGATACAGGAGGAGAGGAGGACAGACGAGCGGGAAGGATTTAGAGAGGAAGGACGGGAGGGCGATGCCAAAGGGTGGATGTTCCCTCCTCCCCCCGACTTCGTCCCTTCTCCTATCTCCTCCCAGTGTGCGCCGGTCGCTTCTGACTCGCTTCTGCAGCAGCAAATCCCGCACATCCTCCATCCTCCCTCCTTCTCTATCCTCGTCCCTCCTCCTCCCTCCTCATCATCCTCCCCACCCCTCCCTGCTCCTTCTCCCTCCTCCGCGATCTTCGTGGGCTCGGCCGCGCCGTGAAGGGGTGAACATCCACATTTGTGCAATCCGCTGCGTTTCATACTTGCGTCCGTGCCCCTTCTTGGGGGGGAGGGGCAAGTGCGGTGGGGCTCCTGGGGCGCCGCGGCGGGCCGAAGCAGGCGGGCAATCGCCTCGGGCTCGTCGCGGCGGCCCACGCGCCACGGCCGCCCCTGCACCAGCTCGGTCCTGCGCCGGGCGCGCGGCCACCGCCGCCGCCGCCGTCGTCGTTGAGGCCGTCACCGCCGCCGCCGCCGCCGTCGTCTTCTTCGTCGTCGTCGTCGCCGCCGCCGCCGTCGTCGTCGTCGTCGTCGTCGTCGTCGTCGTCGTCGTCGCCGCCGCCGCCGTCGTCGTCGTCGTCGTCGTCGTCGTCGTCGTCGTCGTCGTCGTCGTCGTCGTCGTCGTCGTCGTCGTCGTCGTCGTCGTCGTCGTCATCGTCATCGTCATCGTCGTCATCGTCGTCGTCGGTCCGTCATCATCGGTCCGTCATCGTCGTCCTCCTCCTCCTCCTCCTCCTCGAAGAGAGCTGCAGAGGTTCGGCCCAAAGAGGAGGCTGGTGATCCATTTTTGAGCTGCCTTCGGCCGCCCTCGTCGTCGTCGTCGTCGTCGTCGTCGTCGTCGTCGTCGACGTCGACGTCGGCGTCGTCGGCGGCGGCGGCGTCGGCGTCGGCGTTGACGTCAGCAAGGCGTCGGCGTCGGCGTTGGCGTCGGCGTCGCCGCCGCCGTCGTCGCCGAGGTGTTCGAACCATTCGGGCTCTCCTTGCGCCTCTGGGGACCATCAGAGTCGAGGAGAGGTGGAGGAGGCAAGAAGGGAATAGGGAGGAAAGACGAGGCAGAAAGAGGGAGGATTGGGCAGGAATGTGCAGGATGGCGACAACAGAAGTCGCAAAGCACTAAGCGAATTGGTGCGAGGGGAGCATGAACGGCCCTTGTCACCTGACGATTCGCGGCCACCGTCCAGCGGTGGTGTGGCGCCTCCAGTGGTGCTGGATAAACGAGATGCCCCTCTGGAAACGTTACGGGCTCTGATACTGCGAGCCCCGCTGCGCCGACCCTGACACTGCGGGCCAGCTGCGTAGCCACGGGAGGGCAAAGTGCCACACCTGCTGGAGAACGATGCTCTTGCAAAGGAATCACGAGAACGGCTGGTTTCCACGCCCCCACGCCCAAACGAGCCTCCGGGACATTGCGCCCTTTGCGCAAGGTGGCGATGGGGAGAAACAGGGAGGAGGGAAAAGGGAAGAGGAGGAAAGAGGCGGGAGGATAATGATTGAGGGTCGAGGAGGATGAGGGAATGAGACGGGGAAGGAGAAGGGAAGATGAAGGAGGCAAGAGGAAGGCGGGATGAGGAGGCATGATGAAAACGGGCGGAGGAGGCAAACGGGAGGGAGGAGTAAGATGACGGTGAGACGGAGGATCTCGTGCACGAGGGAATGGTGGAGAACGAGCAGCACCATGGGTAGGCGGACGCTTATGAGAAGGGGGCAGGTGAGGATCAGTAGCGGCGGCTGGAGAAACAGGACCATGTTTGGGTGAAGGACCGCCGCAATGCGCGGGGGGCAAGAAGGAGAGGAGGACAGACAGGGAGGAGGTAACAGGAAGGGAGGAGAGGGAAGGGGGGGTAGAGGGAGGAGGAGGACGACGGAGCATGAGGATGAGGATGAGGATGAAGACAACGACACAGTAGAACTCGCAAGAAACTCAAGAAGCCGTCTGAAAGCCTCTGGGGGAAAACAATGGGATTGACAAAAAGCTGGCGCAAACTGTTGCAAACCTCTGGGATTTAAAGCCATCAAAAGCGAGTTCCGTCAAACTGATTCTCTGGACCTCTGCCAGAATACGATCTAGCCATAATCTTTGGGGAGAATCTGGTTGTGGCGCCACGGGAGGTTCAGCAGGGCCCGAGTGCGTCCACAAACCTCGACCCTTGATCCTCGAGATCCTCAGAACGTGTGTTCGCGCAAACGCTTGCTTGTCCACCGAAGCCCCTCGATACAACGCAGGCGGTGTAGTCTGGGCCGACAACGGTTGCGTGCTCTCGGCGGAGCTGAATGGGGTAACGCACTCACACGCGCGCACGCGCGCGCGCACTTCTTGGCAACGCGGCCACGCGCGCAACGGCGCGGCGTAGACAATCGAGGGGGAGCAAGCGCGCGGCCGGGCCAGCTGAGGCAGCGGGGAACAACACACACATTGAGCTAACATCCTCGCCCCTCTCATTCCCCGCGCCCTGGCCTGAGCTGGCGGTGCTCCAGGGGCACCGCGCGCAAGTCGACGCTGGCCTGCAGCGCGGGTGGGGGGCGCTTCAAAGTCCAACGCGAAGGTTCAATAACCTTCGGCGGCTTTGTGGATGCTTCGCCGCTTCTCGCAGGTGTCCAACGAGATAGACGTTAAAGGAGGAGGATGGCGAGTATGTGGAGGTTGATGGGGGCGAGGAAGTGGACGGGGGAGGAGGCTGACGGGGAGGACGAGGAACAATAGAGAAGCAGGGCGATGTTGATGGGAAGAAAAACAAAGTTGGCGGACGACGATGTGGACGAGGAGGGAGAAGACAGACAGGACGAGGAGAAAGAGAATGACGAGGATGACGACGAAGACGAGGAGAACAAACATTATGAGTACAATTCATAAGGGCAAGGCGCGGGGGCATCCTTGAGTCCAGGAGTGCGTCTTTGTCAGGCGCGAGAAAAGGACAGGAGCAGAGTCACGGGACTGGTCGGGGACACGCATGAGGACTAGGGGGAGGACGAGGAGGATGATAATGAGGAGGAAGAAACAATTTGCGGTCTCGTGCGGATTCCAGGGGGCGTCCAGTGCCTGAGGGCTCCTAGAGGATCAAACATCCATCAACATGATGAGCCAGAGGAGGGCACGGTCGAGAGCCGCTGGCTGCGCCCGCGCCCTGGTCTCCCCTAAGGGGTTCCGCCGGGGGGGGAGGGCCGCGCCCGAGCAGTGCCGTGCTCCGTCTCCGCGATGCGGCGTGCTCGTTGTTGTGCCATTGCTGTAGGCGTGCACGAACCGAGACGTCTGTGAACTCCGAGCGCCGCGGCTGCGCGTGCCAACGCCAGTATTGCGCTGCATGGTCTGTTCGCGCTGAATCCACCTCGATTCTGCGTCGAAGCCACGTCGAACACGCGTCGGATGCAAGAACGACGGCCATTTACAAGACAGACAAGGCACCCCGAAGATGCAACGCAACTGGGGCCAAGATGCGTGCGACGTGTCTGATGCCCTGCACAGCCGCACTTCCCCGAATTCGAACCTTGAACTTTCGCGCACCACTCACACAGATGGCCGCAAACCGCGATGCGCTGCGTCACTGCGCCAACTATGGGTGCGTGCGAGTCACCGTTCAATACATTCGGGAGGTGCTGGCGCATCAACTTTGTGTCCGTTCCTGTAACATTCGCGTCACCTGCCGACAACCTTTGCGCGATTTCATTAAATACTAGAGGGCCACATTCCTCGCCGCCAACGTCCCGCGCGCCTCCCTCGCTTCAAAGACGTTTCTGTAACAAATGTGTCCGAATACGTTGGCTTCGTGCCATCATGCGCCAACGGTTTTCGCAATACCAACCGTCGGATGCAATGTGCCGCCCACCGTCGTCCCAACGCAAACCATGGCCATCGACCTACCATACCGTAGGCATTTACATCATGTTTTCGTGTCTCGTGCAATGCCAGAAACTTGGCGTCCATCCACATTATCCACATACGCACGCACATCAACAATGCACATCATTCCCGTCACAATTACATTGGCACCACGAGCGGCGCCCCCCAGCGCCAGGACCCATGGAAGTTAGCACAACACGTACTGTGCCTCGCAGCATCGATATGCAGTCAGGTGGCACGGTCGCAAAGCCTGACCAGCGTTTCGTTACTCCGCAAGGGAAAATTGCATATCCCCTCGACTGGGGTGGCCGCCTCTACAGAGACTTGAAGTATGAGTTCGGACATGTTGGAACATGCAAGTGTGCCGCCACATGCACATCTGGTTATCGTAAACCTGTGTCCGCCATCATGCCCAATACCATCGGAAGAACTTAATGTATGTGAGCTGCCCCAACTGCCCAGAAACACACACGCAAAACAAGCTGTCAGAATTCTGGCTAGATTCAAACTGGCAACGGAGACCTCTAGAAGAAACAACGGCCGACACAATAAAACCAATCGCAAAACCCTTCGACCAATACCTGGCCACCACAACCTCGACGGCTCCAAGCTCACATGTGAAAGGGGGGGACTGGGGACCACATGAGCTCCCCAACCCACATCCTGGGCCCCCTATCCCTAGAAATAGCACGCGGGCCAATTGCGACACCCCAAATAGCCCAAGATAGCCCCAACGCGGAAGAGATAACCCAACATTGCCTGCTAGACTGCCTCAGATGGTCAAACATTCCCAAGAAAGCCCCATGTAGGCTACAACAGCGGATGAACACTATGTCTCTGTTCAGCCTGTTGCGATTATGGCGTTCGTACCTTCGCTACGTCAGATGGGCCGTAGAATTCAGACGCATTATGGCCGCCCCCGAGAGTAACCCCACAGAGCACACGGGTCAAAGAGGAACCCAACAAGGCCCCAATGTAGACCAAAAGAGCCCCGGCAGACAGAGCCCCGGGAAAGTGCCGACTGGCCTCCTAGATGCTGCCAAGCAAACGCGAGGGAGCCGAATAGGGCAAAGACAGAACCCAGAGAATATGCCAATAATGCCCCAAGGACGGCCCTAGAAGGTACTGGGCCACGTAAAGGACCCAGAAGAGCCTCGACATGACCCCATGAATGCCCAAGATGGCCCCGCGATGACCCGAGAACTGCCCCCAGGTGTGCGGACGAATACGCATCAAAGCCACAGCCCAACCGAACAATCATCACATGGGACTGGGGCAGCGCAAACAGCGCGTCTCTCGTCCCACGTGAATGTTCGGTTGGTCCGAAGATTTGGGTGTTTCTCCCTATGTTCGCTCACCGCACACGCACGTCTGGCCATCCGACTCCTCCCCTCCTCTCCTCACCCTCACCCGCTTCCTCCTCCTTCTCCTCCTCTCCCTCCTCCTCCTCCTCCTCCTCCTCCAAGTTCAAAGCTCCGACCAATCAACATGCCGCACATTATACGCACCCCAAACAAACAATACGCGATGCCGTCGCGCATAAGGCATGACCGAATTGTTGCCAGACTCTGCTGCAAGCTTGCGCTCGACCTGGTGCCAGCCACTGTGATCTCCGTGGTTACATGAGATCCACAGAGAGCAAGAAGCGACTACACCACCAAAAAAGGGTGTGTGCCACCAAGGACGGCGATGGCGGACATGGAGGACTTCGGAGAAATATTTGGACAATTAGGAAGCGTGCAAAGAAAAGAGGCTCCTCGCACGATGGTTGGTCGTGGTGCTGCCAATTGTACTTGCTGTTGCACACGCGGGCGGGCATTTATTCCCGCCGTCGGGGTTGCCCGCAGTTGAGCAGGGACCGACCGTCCCGGCATTCCTATGGTCCTACCAAGATATGTTCTCAGAACCCCGAAATGTTCTAATACCAAAAGCAATGTTCTTAGAACATAAACCCGATGTGTTAAAACGAGAAGGTCCCAGCCAGACATGTTCTAAGAACACTGCGTGGGAACCACCAACAATTCTTATAATATTGCTTGGTGGGACCACAGGCCCGCCAGGCCGCTTCGCCACTGCTTGACGCAGGGGCGAGGAGCGGGGACCACGAGCGATTCGGGCCCCTCCGGGGGCCCCGGATCTGGCCGATGTCGGCGCACTCTCCCAAAACGCCGACCACAGCACCTCGGCTTCGTGGCGCTGGCCATCGCTCGGACGTCCATTCCCTGTGCTTCTTCGGCTTCGCGCGTGGTGTTTTCGCCAAATGATCCAGGATGCTCCTCGATGGTCCTCGCCGAAAGAAACATGCACACGTCCGAGCGATGCCAAGGGAGAGTGACTCGGAATTCGGTCACAACACGCGTGCCCTTGGCTCCCGTCGATCCTTCCGCTGGTGGTGATTTCGGGCGCCGCGATGTTCAAAGGCCGCTTGACGACAACGCCCCGCCTGCAGACCCGGCTCGCGCTCGGCCTCGCTGCTGGGCCTCTCGGCCCCGATCTGCCGCCGCGGCTGCGTCCCGCTGCGGTCCAGGAGCGCGGTGAGGAGCTGCTCCGCGAACAGGGTGGCCAAGCCGTACGCCTTCGCCTTCACCTTGAGCGCGCGGTCCTCCGTGAGCAGCGCGACGGAGGGCGGGACCGCCACGTCGCCCACGGCTTCCGCGCTGCGGGCGGCCTCCCGCTCCTGCAATGTCCGCAGGTTGGCCTCGCGGGCGCGCGCCGTCAGCGCCCCCGCCAGCGCGAGGGCGCAGGCGAGGACGCACTCGTCGTTGTTCTGCGGCCGCAGCCCGCACCCCTCGGCGGCGTCCTGCCGCAGCAGCAGGAAGCTCGGCGGCTGGTCGCGGCAGCCCGACGAGGACTCGAGGAACCGCAGGGCGGCCTGGGCCCTGCCGTGGAGCGCGCCGTGGCGCGACGCGGCGGCGAGGCCGGGCTCCTCCTCCCAAGGGCCGCGGGCCTCGGCGCCGGCGGGCCGCCCCTTCTGGATCCCGTCCAGCTCCCGGAACACCACGAAGGGAACGACGAAGCAGGTCCGCCCTGGCCGCAGCTTCGCAATCGCGTCGATCGTGGGGAGGCGGTCCAGGAGCTGGTTGGTGTCGACGACGACCACGTCCTCGACGGGCGGGCTCCTCCCCACCAGCTCGGCGACGTGGTCCCCGAGAGCTCCCCCGACCTCGACCGCGGAAGCGGCGCGATGGGAGGCGGGGGCCGCCGCGATCTCGTGAGAAGCAGAAGTGCACTGCACAGGCAAACTTTCGGAGGCCCAAGCGGATCTCTTTAAAGGGAAATTCGGACACACAAATAAATACACACAAATAAAAATAGTCCCCATATTTTCCCATATTTTCTGGGTTTTTGTCTTCCCCACCACTTCCCATATTTTTGCATATTTTCCTGGGAGTCGACGATTAATTGTGTCTGTGTGTTTCTTTCCCTCCTGACTCTTGGGTGGGGGCAGGAACCCCCTCCCTGGCGCGCGGAGCGCGACAAAGGCAGCGCGAGCGGCGCCGCCAGGAAGGTCCAGCGCCGATCCGAGAAATCCGCGCGGGCCGCCGAAAGTTTATGTCCGTGCAGCTTATGTCGATTCGTGGGGCACCGCCTCGCGCTTCTCGGATCGGGGAGACGTAAGACCCGGGTACGGGGGACTCGGAAATCCCCGACGAGGTCGTCAAAAAAATGACGAGGCCGAGCCTGCATTTTGACGAGGCCTCCCGCTGCAGACATCCCACGAAACTCCTCCTCGTCAAAATCCGAGGCGCGGTCGTCAAAAAACGATGGCGAACCCGAGTCCCGGCAAACCCGGGTCTTACGCTCCCCCGATCGGAGCGCCCCTGCGCCGCCAAGACCGCGCTGGTCGCCGCCTGGGCACTGGCGAAGGCCGCCGCGCCCTCCAGCGGCCCCGCCCCAGCCCGCAGCGGAGGCGCGGCAGCCCGCCCTTCTGCCGAGGGCACCGCGGCGGCGGCCTGGCCGCAGGGCGCGGCCTCGCCGGTCGGCTGCGCGCGGTCGGCCGCGAGGCCCGGGGCGGAGGGGGCGCCGTGGCCGCGAGCCTTGCCCGCGTCGGCGGCAGTCGCCTCCTTCGGCGCGCTCCCGTTCTTCTTCCGCCCGCTGGAGCCCCTCGGCGGCGGCGCGTTCTTCCGGCCGGCTCGGCCACCGGGGGTCCCCAGGGCGCTCCTGGCCGCCCGCACCCTCCCCAGCTCCGCCCGCAGCCTCTGGATCTCTGCCACGCAGGAGGCCTCGCGCTGGTCGAGCAGCGCGCACAGCGCGGCGTCCTCCACCGACACCTCGTCGCCCGCGCCGCAATGGTCCGCCTCAACATGCCGCTCCGCGGTCCCGTCCGGCGTCCCCAGGGCCGACGCGCCGCCAGCAGGCTTGTCCAGCAGCTGCCGGCAAACGACATCGCCGGGAAGCAGGCCCATCTTCAGCAGCTGCCGCAGCCGGTCCTCCCGGCCCGACCCTACGGGCTGCCGAAGCTCGAGGGGGCCGTCTCTGGAGCCTGCGGCCGCGGTCTCGCAACATCTCTCCAGCGGGGGTGCGGCGAGCCGGATCTGGATTGCCGCCGCAGCCCGGGCTTTGCCGCGGCCGTCGCCGCCAATGAACTCGTCCAATGTGGCCGCCTCCTCGCACGGCATACCCTGGCTACCAGCAGGAGACATTGCCGCAGGTGGCGCGCGCGGGCCCTGAGAACTCGAGCGCCCTGCCAATGGCAGGTGCCATAGCTGTGATGCCACAGGTGTGAGAAGCGGATGCGGATGATCATGTACATGCAACGCGTACACTTGCACTTTTTTCCGGACCCTCTTGTGGAGTCGGGTCCTCGCTTTCAATCCGCAACGCTGTGCGTCTCTTCCCTCTCCTCCCTCCCGCCTCCCTGCTCCTGCCCCTCTGCCGTTGTTGACGCACCTAAGTTGGCATACCCCTCGCTCGGATGGCTGCCACACGCCCTCAGTGGGCGGGATCGCAGAGCATCCCTCCGCCCACTTCGGGAAACATCCCACACGGAACGTGACCCTGTAACAGGCGGCCGCTGTGGGCGGGTTGCATTGCGTCACCCTGCTATGTCGGCACACCCCTCACACGGATCGTGCCCCTCAGCAAGCGAGCCCTCGTGCCCCTCTCACAGGCCGTGCCCCAAGTGGTCGCGTTCGCAGAACGTCTCCCCGCGAATGTCGACATACCCCTCACATAGAGCGTGACCGATAGAAAGCTCAACCTACGGCCCAAGGTGGAAGGGTTTGCATAACGTTCCCCAACCAATTTCGGCATACCCCTTACACGGACCGTGCCCCATATAAATAGAGAGCTCAACCAAAATTAGCAGTGTCGCATCTACTTTCCCCCCCGCCTACTTCGGCACACCCCTCACACGGATCGTGACCCATACAGACCCATTAGATGGGGCTCCGTAGACAGGCTCGCACAACGCATTTTCCATCATGTCGGCACACCCCTCAAACAGAATATGGCCCCATAGCGAGCTCCACCTCCGGCCGAAGTGGGGATGGCGCACCGATGGCTCTGTGCTCGCATGGTGTCCCCCAGCCCATTTCGGCACACTCCTCACACGCTTCGTGCCCCCACAGGGAGCTCAACTGACGGTCGCATGCCGCCGCGACCATGTCGGCAAGCCCTTCACGCGGTTCGTTCGTCAGAGCACAGCTCTACACGGCCCCAGTGCAGGCGCTCGCATGGCGTCACTGCGCTCTTTTCAACGCACCCCTCACGCGGATCCATCTGGGGAGTGCCTCTGTGCGCCTGCTCCGCACCCCCAGCACTCCGCATCACCCGAACTCCATCCCTCCCGCGGCGTCAGGCACACGCATGAGGAGATGCGGGCCGCGTCCTGCCCTACACGCACCTGTGAGAAAAGGCTGCGCGCTTCACCAACACAACTGTTTTGTCATTCGCTCGTGATCAGCACCATTTCCTCGCCATGCAGCGCATGACTGCGACTCTATTGTCGCATGATTTGCTGCAAACAGGCGTGCATGCATAGAGTGGACGCGGGATCCGTAGCCGCCGAGACTCGAATCTAACAGTCCTTCGAGTTTTCCGACACAGTCTGGGGAGCCAGGAACAAAAAAAAAAACGCAGTCACAGCTTCAAGTGCTGCCCACGTCACATACACTCATCCGTTGACACCCACTGCTGGGCTGCCCCGCGGCCTAGACGGACTGTGCAGTGCCAGGCCCGAGCTGCCAACTTTCTGTTGGACCTGGCTGGGGGGAGCTCCGCTCCATTCCTCCCATCCGGGTCCTCGGGGGCAGAACATGTGATCGTGCAAAACGTGTAACAGCTCTCTTGACCTGTGATGGCCAACCGATCACGTGCCAACGTGTTGCAAACATGTACCGGCGCATTGTTAAGAAACCGAGCGGCGCCGTAGTGCTGCACCAACCACCACACAATCGGTACAAGACATGCGCTGGAGAACTGTACGCTGCATGCCACGGTTTCTTCATCCGCGACGCGGTCGAAAACTTTGCGCTGACTGGCCCTGGCCACTGGGGTCACGTGGACTGGACCATGCTGGACTTCGCAAGTCTTCTGCAGCTGGGCTCTCGCACCGCCTGAAGATCTGCTTCACCGAAACGCCGGTAGTAAGGCTCGTCTGTTCAAACACCAACTCCTCGCCGTCGCCCTGTAGGTAGCGCCGCGTCGAGGGCAACGGCCTGCTACTCCACACCCGTTCAGAGTCCATTGACAACACCTGTCCGTCCCAAGTCACGCGTGTTCTGACAGTGCGACCATCGAGGTCCGTGAGGTACTGCTCAATGCCATCTGTTCTGTAGATATTCGATGTCGATCTGGGCCGCGGCATCTCGACTTTACCAGATAAGTACCTCGAATCAATGCGGATCTCGTTTGTGTGCTGCTCCACGTGGACGGACTGCAAGCCGACGCCGAAGCCCACGCTGGCCAATGCCTTCCGCTGCACCAGCGAAGTCTCGAGCTCCATCAGCATTGCTTGTACGTCCCCCTCGAGTCTGTGCAACAGCCAGTCGCCGCTGAAGTCTGGATGGGCGGCCGTCATGGCTCGCGGAGCCTCCTGCGTTTCCGACTTCCTGGCGACTGAGATGGGCGCTTGCGCCGTCACTGGGGAATCTGTCGGCGAGCCAGGCGGCGCTGTCGGGCTGAAGCGGTTCGCGCCGTCCTGGTCAAGATCACACGGTGGCCCAGCCGGTGCACACTCCTGACTTCGTGGACTGGCCTCGCTGGTCGTCGTCGAGAACATCCGATCAAAGTCACCCTCGGTGGACTGGGAGGATCGGGTCGGGCGAAAGGGGGGGATAGCAAAGGTGGGGGTTTGAGAATCAGCTCGCGTAGCTGATTTTCCCGGCGCCTCCCGGCGCCGGGAGGCGCCCATGTATCGAGGAATGGGCCCGGCGGCGGGGCCGAAACCAGCTGCATGCAGCAGAATTCGTAGCCCCCCCTTCCCCCCTATCCCCCCCCTCTCGTCCTGCCCGAGAGGAGGAGCGGGGCACGCTGTGTGGATGCCCTCCTCTCCGTTCCTCCTGCAGCGGCGTGGGTCTCGCCTGCGGGCCCGCCTTCGGGCAGGTGGCTTCTTCGGCCGCGCGCTGTACCTCTGGCGGTAGCGTGCAGGTGCACGCGGACCCGCCCATAGGGCCCCCGACTGATCACAACGGACGCTGCGTTGGGACATGGGGTACAACGGCTTCCTAAGTCCTTGGGCAAAAAGTGTCCACGGAAGAACCTCAGGAGGACGACGAGAGGAGATGCTTCCGCGAGCAGCATGTCACCGCACAACGTGTTCCAGCCCTCCCAAATAACAACATCTCCGGAGGCTGAACTCATCTTTGGCTAGAGCTTGATAAGCGCGGCTCTCGTCTCGCTTCGGCCATCGCCTCGATGTTAGCTGCTGACCCAGTCCGAGACTTCACGCTGGCCGAATTTCTCCATGTGCATGCGTATTTGTTTTTGACTCGAAGTGACCCGCCGCTGCCGCCGTCGCCGTCGTCGTCTCGGGCTGCGTCTGCGCGGCGCCCCGCGCACGCGCGGGGCTGTCTCCGAGACCCCGACAGAGAGGACGCACTCCAGCGACACGCGCATGGTGGAGGGGGGCGCCACTGGCGGGGCGCTCCGATTCCTGCCATTCCTTCTCCTCCGCCGCCCTCCCCAGCCAAACCTCTGGCGACGTGGAGCGATCTTGCCGGACTGTTAGCGGTGGCTTGGCGTCCCGAAGCCGCTTCAGGGTCACGGGCCCGAAAAAACCCTGCCTGGGATGACTGCCTCTCCCATGTAAGGGGTCGAGGTCTCCAGAGCCCCAGGGCCCCCGACTGGGAAGTACACCAGCATGGCGACCCTGAGCAACAGCGCTGCATGACGAGGCACACGGTGAATCAGCACCGACGTGCGCGTGCACGGCACGGCGCGCGGGCACGGCACAGCACGCGCACGGAGTGGCACGCGCACTGCACGCCACGGCACGCGGCGGCACATCCTCTGCCTTCTGGAGGCCAGGCACCGCTTGGCACGACACGCAGGCACGGCACAGCGCGTGCGCACGGCACGGGCACGGCACGGCACGTGGACGGCACAGGTTTCGCACTCTAGAACGCAGGCATGGCACGGCACGCGGGAACGGCACGGCAAGGTGCGCGGGCGGTACATGTTTCGCAGTCTAGAACAGAGTCACGGGTTCTGATACTGCAGCTGGGACCCCGACCGCATTGGCTGTTTCATGAAACATCGAGTTGCCAGAAGTCTATACTGCACGTCCTGCTCCTGCTTCTGCTGATTCTTCGGCTCGTGCCCCTCGGCCCTCCGCCCTCCTCCCGTTCGCCCTCCGCGTCCTCCTCCTCCTCCTGCTCCGCCGCGTCATCAGACAGAGAGGATGAGACATGTGGAGGGCGGAGGAAGAGCGAAGGGGGGGAGGAGCATGGTAGAATGAGAGGAAAGGAATGGGGAAGCACGAAGAGAGATGAGGATGAGGAGGATGAGGCTCCATCCTCTTCGTCTCACTCCGCGTCAACAGCCTCCCTCTCTTGCTCTCGTCCTCCTCCTCCTCCTCCTCCCTTTCGCATCCTCCCCTTTCTCCTTCTTTCTCCTCCCTCCGCGTCCTGCCCCTCCTCCCTCCTCCTGATGATACTGTTCCAACACTTCCCCTCCCGCTCCATTATCCCTTCTCACCCTCCCCCTGCACTCCCTTCCCGTCTCTTTCCCCTACAAGCTATTTCCTAATCCCAGTCCGTCGCATCACCATCAGCAGCAGCATCGTCACCACCGCCACAATCACCACTTCTCCTCCTCGTCCTCCTCCGTAGCCCCAAGCGGCTGTTAGACCGCCCCAGCCTGCGCCCTCCTGTCGTGAGATGGCCGGCGCTGCGGCTGCTGGAAGGGGAGCGGCTGCGGGGGAGGGGGGCCGCCCGCCGCGTTCGCGCGCCGGCCCGTGCACGACTGCGGGGCCGCCTCGCTGGGCCCCCGCGGCTTGGAGGAGCGGCGGGGGCACCGCGGGCGAATGAGGGCGTGCGGGAGGCCCGCCTGCGGTTCAGCGGCACCTCAGAGGGACCCTGGGAAAGAGTGACCTTGTGGCGCGGGGCTCGAGAGGGCGGGTGGGGGCCAAGCGCGCCAGCCGCTGCTGGCGCACCCAATTCAGCGTTCGGGGGACCCCAGCGGGCGCGCACCAGGAGATCACTGCGACAAAGGGTCACTCTCATGCGTGATAGCCGATGCGGCGAGCTCGCGCGGATGGACGTTCGGCGGCTTCAGGCTACTGGCAGGACCAGAGGCGGGCGCCGCGAGCGGCGCTGCAGGCGGCCGCGCCGGGCGGGCGGATGTGCGACAACGATCGCTGTCGCCGCACGTGCCCGCCTGACACGCCGGCCTGGCGCACAGGTCGGGCTCGCCCGCGCGTGGGCAGCGGGCCCCGGCCTGGCGCCCTCGCGGGCGGGCATGACTCCACCAGAATCCCCTCCGAGGGAAGGCCTCGGGCCCCAGTGGGAGCGGCCTCGGGAACCATCGGGAGCAGCGGCGGGAGGCTGGAGGTGCCGTGGCCAGGGACGGCGTGCCGCCCTCTCGCGGCCAGGCGAGACCAACGCTCCCGCCTCGAGCCCGTGCCCAGGCCTCGGGGCCGTGCGCGTCGTGGCGGCAGGAGGCCACGGACGCCGGGGACGACCAGGTGAAGATCCGCCCCTCCTCCGAGGGAGAGGAGGGCGCCGAAGACCTCGCCGACCTGCCCGGGGGCAAGCGCACGCCGCTGCGGTCTGCCGCGGCGCCGCACGTGCCCGGGGTGCTGCTGGACAAAGCGACGCCCGCTATCGAGCCTCCCGACGACGGGGTGCCCCCGCACCGCGCGGGGAGGCTTTGAGCGGGTGTTCGCGCGGCCGTGGCGGCGTGTGCGGGCGCCGAGGAGCTCGGCGCGGCGCCCATGGAGCGAGGGTCGCCTGCTGCCGGCTGCCCGTGGCGGAGGGCGCGGCAGGACACAGCGGCGAGGTGGCTCGGCAGCAGCGTCGAGCCGTTGGTGCCCCAGGTCGGGCCGAAGGCGGAGAGGCATCGGACGAGATCGCCCAGGGCCTGGAGGCGGAGCGAGAGGACGGCGGCAGGCCACGAGCGCCAGGCCGTGCCCGCGGCTGCCCACGCGTCGGCGCCAGGGCCGCGGGCCAGCGGGCTCGCCTCCGGGCCTCGCCCTGGGCCGCTGGGCCCGCGCAGCAGGGGCGAGGTGACCGAGGAGTCCGAGGCCGAGAAGGTCGGCCCGACCGAGGGCTGGCAGGCACGAGGCTGCTCTTCAGAGCGGGCTGGCCTGCGCTGGGTCGGCGGCGCGGGCGCCGACGCGCGCCTCGAGGCGCGGCAGCCCGCCGAGCTGCCAGGGAGGCCACTGGCGCAGCCCGCAGCAGCCACCCGCCGGACCGCAGCTTGCATGGCATCGGACCGCACGGGCGCGGAGCCGAAGATCGGATCGGCTCGGCCGAGCCCCTGCGAGCACCTCCGGCAGCACCGCGCCGCCAGAACACGGGAATCGGATCGGACCGAGCTGGCAGAGGTCGAGATCGAGCCGAATCGATCGGATCGAGCGCGGATCGAGCGGGCGGCAGCAGCACCAGGGCAGCGGGAGGGCACGCCCAAGGTCGGCACACTCCGCCGGCTAGGCGGCGGAGCCCGACGATGCACCGGCGTCTTGATGTGCTCCAAACGCCCGCCTGGCTCCCAGCGACTCCTTCTCGGCGGGACCCTGCAAGACGCGGCGGCGTCGAGCTTGCAGACGGCGGCCACAGCTGGAGTGTAGGCACGCCGAGAAAAGGAACGACCAGGCCTCGGCCACGAACTGGTTCGCCGACCTGGACCTTAGGAGCGGCCCTCCAATTCAGCGCCTTGACTGTGCAGCCTGAGTGGGGAGTCCGAGTCCGAGTTCGTGCGGCTCTGGGGCGAGAGCGTAGCGCGCCCGACTCTGGGGCGGAGGAGGCCGCCGGTTCGCCTGGCGACCGCATGGTGGAGCCCGGGCGAAGCCCTCCCCGCTGGTGAGTTCGGACTTGCGTTTAATCCCTGGCCCATCCTCCTCCTCCTCCTCCTCCTCCTCCTCCTCCTCCTGCACTTCCCTCCTGGCTCCCACCTCCCGCCACGATCCCTCCCGCTGCGACAGCGCTGCGACAGAGGAGGGAGAGAGCAAAAAGGTTCTGCCAAATGTCTCCTCGTTCTCCTCGTCCCTACTGCTCCCGCATCCCGTCCCGACCCGTCCCGCTGCGACAGGGGGGGAGGGGGAAGGTAGAGCGAGCGATGAGGAGAGAGGACGGCAAGGAGCAGAGGGATGATGAAGAGGAGGAGGCGTAGGAGAAGTGGGAAGATGAGGTACAGAATGATGAGAAGGAAAGGGACGGGGCAGAGGAAACGAGGTAGCTGGGGGAGGGGCGGCCGAAGAAACAGCAGGAACAGCAGGAGCGAGGACGAGAGAGGTCGACGTGTACGGGGGGGACGAGAGATGAGGTGGGGCGATGGCATGAGACAGCTGACTGGGCCCGATCTCTGGCCGCCCCCACCACCCTAAAGCTTGAGGCAAGGAGGAGGAGGAGGAGGAGGAGGAGGAGGAGGAGGAGGAGGAGGAGGAAGAGGAGGAAGAAACCATTGGCCGAGGAAGGGCACGGCCGTCTTCACGCTCGTCGGGGGCCCCAGTCAGCCTGGGTTCGCGCGCAGCGGGCCATAGGCGCCGCAGCCGCGGCGGCAGGAGCCGCCACGCCCCGAGAGGGAGAACCTGCCTGGCATCGCCGCGCTCGCCAAGTGAGAAGACAAGACCGGCTTCTGGTACGACTCGCAGCAGAAGCGCGCCGACTGGGATAGCCCACTCGGCTCAACAGCACACAGCCGACGAGATGGCTAAAATCCGCCGACACTGTCGGCGTGTGAGAGGGGCTTTTCCGTCGGAGTCGTTGTCGTCATCGTCGTCGTCGCCTTCGCGGCTTCTCTTCCAGCGTCCCAGGCAGAACCAATTGACGTCGTATGGTAGTTGAGTCGAAGGGAAGCCCCTTCCCTGTGATCCCTTCCCCTGGGCACCTGCCCGACCCCCTGGCCGGGGGCCGATCCCCTCCTGGGATACGCCGGCCGGGCCCGACCCCCTCCTGGGATGCGCTGGGCGGGCCCGACCCCCTCCTGGGATACGCCGGCCGGGCCCGACCGACCGCCGTGCGATCCCGATGATACCGCCGAGTGCAGCCCACACAGCAAACCCGCATGCGCACACCACAACCCCAAGCCCACGATTGGCACACCAATTACAACACAACTGGGTCGTTGTACCCGGAAGCTGCCAGAGTGTTGAACTAACGCGCTGCGATAAATGGCAATACGAGAGCATTGCCCACCCAATCGCAGCGTCTCCTGCTGGCTCACTGTGGCACATGAGCTGATGACGCTCCGAGGAGCCGCATGACGCCTTGGCCAAGGCCGCGGGCCACGCTATAACCGCAGCGTGCCAACAAACAGCCCCGCCTGGCTGGGACGCTAAGGATAAGCTGCAGCTCTCCGCCAACACATCCACAACCAACTTGGAATACTGACATGTGCACCAGCCAAAGGACACCAGCGCAACGTACTGCGTGCTGACCACGAGGAGGAGGATGAGGAGGAGGAGGAGGAGGAGGAGGAGGAGGAGGAGGAGGAGGAGGAGATCCACAAACATTGGCACCTATGCGCCACCACCACCACCATTCCTGGCCAGGGCCCTCCTGGTCCCGGCCAGGAAGGCATATACACCATCCTAGGATGGCCCTGACCAGGAAAGGCGGTCTACAGATGCCTTCAGCACATTGGAGATGATAGTAGGGAGGCCCTTGACCCGGGTGGCCTGGGCCCATTGACGGCATCGCGGCGTGCCAGAGCTGCGCAGCGTAGCCGAAGAGGCCGCTGGCCATCTCCTCGGGCTCCCAGAGCTCGAGGGGGCGAAGGGCGGAGGGGAGGGGGGGGGAGGGAAGGGAAATGAGGGAGACCCCCAGCAGTCGTGAAAAGCACAGGCGGGATGCTCTGGACAGCTTTCAGGCTCTGAGGGGGGCACGTACTGCGCCACGCGCCACGGAACAGTCAAACAACAACTCAGGATGACAAGCCAGCCACAGGGAAGGGGTCGAGCCATACATTCAGCCCCAGGGAAGGGGTCGAGCCGCACATTCACGATGTGAAGCAAAACGCCACGTCAGGGGGTCTGGGGGGAAGGGAGGAGGGAATATGCAGGAGGGCTTGAGGTTGGCTCGGGGCGCTTTCGGTGATCGTGTGTGGGGCGGCTCTGGGAGTCTATGTCAGATGCCCTGTGTGGGGGGAGACGACAAGTTAGGGAGAGAGGCGCCAGTGCGAGTCGAAGGCAGATGGAGGGGAGAAGAGGGGAAAAAGGGGGAGGCGGCGGGGGCATTCACGAGAGGGGAGCAAGGAAAGGGGACAGGAGAATGGAAAATGGGCTGACAAGCGACAGGCTAGGCAGGCGCAAATGGGGGGAGCTTTTTGGGGGGCAACAGGCCCGGACCATCTCGACGACCTCCCCAGTCGGAGTCCGAGCAAGAAATGCCCGAGCGTCCTTCGGCAGTGTGACGCGCGGCGGCGGCTGCCATGGAGAGGCACCGGCTCGACGAGTTCCCCTGTTCGTGCAGAGCTCGTGACCCTCTCGCAGCGCGCCGCGCGGTGGCTGCCCGCACGCCGCACCTCCTCGTCCCTAACACCGCCGCGGCCTGCAAGCTGAAGCAGCAATAACAAACAGCCCTCGCCGCAAGAACACGACACGCTTGCCGGGATGCCCTGGCCGCCTGGCTGGGACTGCGGTGCTCCAGAGCGTCAGCGTCGCCGTCGTCGTCGCCGCCGCCACCGTCGTCGTCGTCGTCCCCCTTCAGGGTCGGTGGCACCGGCCGTAAGGCCTTTCCAAGATCAATGAGCCTGCCGCGGGAACCGATTGTTTGAAGCAGCCAGCCCGCAACGGGCTCCATTTCTTGGCAAAGCAATGTGGGTGGGTCGCGGGGCAGGTCGCCGGCAAGCCGCATGGATTGACAACAATTTTGATATTAAGATTCTTGTCGTCATCGTCTCACCGCGGGCCGCCCCGCGACCCACCCACGACGGGCCCCGCGACCCCCCCGCGAGGCACCGCGCGACCCTCCCGGCACGCCAACCACCCGCGAGCCGCCAACGACCCAGTCGCGAAGAGTCCGGATTGTTGTGGACGTGAAAAAGAGCGCCTGCAGCGAACACTTCTGCAATCCGCCGCCCCCTTGTGGGTCTCTAGGCGTGTGAGATCGTTTCCCCCCCCATAACCCCCCCAGGGACCCCAAACCGGAGATTTGACCCCCCCCCCCCCGGCCCCGACGGCCCCGGACAGAGCGCGCCATGGGGGAGCAGAGGGCTCCCAAACGGGCCAAGAGGGCACTTTGACGCCTCTCAAACGGCCCAAGAGACCCACGAGTCGCCGAAGGATCAAGCCAATACGTCCAAGATCAAGATGACGTCCACCCTGACTCTCCACCTTCCATACCTTCCGCGTGGAAGGTGCCTCACATGGTCTTTTTTCGCTCAAGTTCTTTGGGGTTTCCAAGGGTTCTTATAGGTTTCTGACGGTTTGGGGAGTTTCAACGGTAACAGTAAGTCATCATTGCAAAATACGCATTGGTAACGCTCATCATTCCACACGTTTTCAGGCAAGCGTGTTGGACAGTTGTTCGGGCGTTCGTGTGAATGTTGTCTGCGTAGTTTCCGTCCTCATCGTGGATAGAGTCAGGGCAGGCCCTCCGATCCGAATAGCCAATATCCAAGTGCTTCTGATTCTGAGACCCAAGACCCTTGGACCCTGATGCCTCCCTAGCACTAACCCGTAGACCCTGAAGCTCTACAGGGGCACCGAAACCCAAAGACCATTGGAAATGACCATCGCACCCTAGGGTCCCATGGCCATCGAACAGGTTAACCTAATGATCCCATTACTTAGAGGCCCCTTCAGAACCTGAGACCTTCAGACTTTGACTACAAGCCCCTCAAACCCGAAGACTTCCAGCACAAAACCTAAGATCCGAAAGCCTCACGCGCGAGCTCCAGGACCCTGATACCATATGACCGTGAGGCCCATGTATGACCCCCTGGCCCTGAGACCCCGAGGTCCCGAGATCCTCAGATTCCAAGACCCTGGGACCTCAGGGCCTAGGGTTCAAAGGCACTCAGAATCTAAGACTTTGATCCAGACCTGATTGATCTCTTACAAGATGGCCCCACGAGCGCCCCTGAGGCTCCCAAGAGGGCCCCAAGAGGCGCCCAGGCGGATCCAAGAGGTGTTGAACATCCTCGTAGTCCTCGTTGTCGCCGTCTTCAGGGTCGGCGGCATTGGCCGTACAGTTTTCGTAATACCATATTGTCCTAAGTCCTTAAGGTCGTAAGATCCTAAGAGCGGTTCGATTTGTCAGTGCGCCCTTCATCCAGAGCCCTCGTCACCAGACTCGCCTCTAGCGTCCTCAACAATATCCCCCTAGTCCTGCTCCCCCTCATACGAATGCGTCCCTCCCCATCCATATGTTTAGCATGTGTTTTTTAGGTTCCTGCCTGGGCAAGTGCGTCCCGAAGCCGAGGGGACCAGTACAGCGCACTGTGAAACATCGGGTGAACCATGAGGTTCCAAGCGCTGCAGGGCATCTGCATTCTGACGATGATGAGTGATGATGTTGGTGTTTCATCGTGCAGTGTATTCATGATGGCGGTGATGCAGATGCCAGAGTGTGAAACTTAATGAGCACTCAGCTTCATTAGAAATTCCGTCGCCCACTTTGTGAGCCATGTCTGTGCAAACATGGGGCGGAACAAACCAAACGAACGAACTCTCGACCCATAGTTCTCCGACTCGTCGGCATAGTTATGGCTGAAACATGGGTTGCCTGCAAACTTTGCCTGCGCCTCAAAATGGCACGCGAATACGTGCCACTTCATTGTGCATGGCTGCCCTGTCCTCGCCCAGGCTCGGACGCACGATCTCGTCACATGGCCAAGATGGGCAATTGCGTTCGGTGGCATGTTGCGCGGCTCCCGCGCACATAGGGCATAATACTCCACCAGCGCATTGCCACAAATGGCAAGATTGGTACCGAAGCCTGCAGAAACGGAATCAAGAAGCTGAGCGCCTCCCTTGTCAACCAAGAGGCTCACAAAAAAAAGCAAAACTGCTTTAGCTTTGGCAGCTTTAAGTTTCAGTATCGGGTTGTTTGTTTTTGTGTCCACCATTCCAGTTGTAATGTGGGTCCTGAGACCCTGATCCACACCACGAGTAGTGTAGTAATGTGTCAAACAACGGTCGAGCTCAAAATCAGCCCCATCTGGTTCATTCTCCGACCACGCCCCGAACATTTTTGCTTTCAAGAGTTCCGAGAGTGTGACACCCATGAAATACATGACAATGCCCAATTCCACGCAGTGCATGGAATCGAATAAAAAGTGTTTGGATGTTAATCCACGGATTCCTTGCTGGTGTGGCAAATCCAGCAGCGCATTCAAAAACAACACAGAATGCTCATGGCGTTGGTACGTCAAGAACCGTCTCTTATCGGGGGGAAACGTATCCACGCGCTCGCCGTGTACGAAATCGGGGAAGCCGAGCACCGCGGGCTCGATCCTGGCGCCCCTTCGGACGCTGGGCAGAGCAGGGTGGTGCCGTTTCACGTACAAACCGCCTTTGACGCGAGACCTGGCACACACCGACATGAGAGATGGCACTTGCGCATCGCATATATCGTGACAAGAAATACACGTCAAGCTCGTAGTTGTGTACCACGTGTGCGTGCGGAGGCGGTACTGTGTATCTATATCATGCAACCTGCTCTGAGGAATGAAGCAACTGAGGCAACCGTATGCGCTGCGGTAGTGGGGCAGTCCCATAGTCTTGGTATACTCATCTAAATCACATGACACTTCGCAGCACACCAAACGGATCAAGTGACCGTTTTCGCCCATGCCGAACAAGGGCGAGTTAGCAAGAAATTCGCGACGGGACCCTCTGGGCCAACATCTGCCGAGGGCGTCGCGCTCGGGCCACGTACCACTGGCCCCTACATTAAATAACCAAGCAACTATCTGGAGAATTGGGGCGATGGTGTGGCCCCCCCTGCAGCCACAACGGCAGAGCAACTTGCTCGGGTAGGATCCGACGGGGATTCTCTGCCGTTGTCCAATCACAGATATGAATATCCGACTGCCCGTGCCCTCGGCCGTGGGCTATAGAGGCGCGCGCGGAGACGGCGGGCACGAGGAAGCACACATACAGGTATGTATGTATGTATGCATGCATGCGTAATTGTGTATGTATGTATATATGCGTGCATGCATGTATTTCTGGATGTGTGTACGTTTGTATGTACGTACGTATGTATGTATGTCGGTGTATGCATGTATGTGTGTAGGTAGATAGGTCGGTATGCATGTATGTACGTATGCATACATACGTAAAACATATATGGGTGTGTTTGTATGCATGTATATATATATATATATGTATGCATGGATGCATGCATACATGCATGTATGTATGTATGTATGTATGCATGTATGTATGTATGTATGTATGTTTATATGGTTGTATGATTGCATGTATGTATGCATGTACGTGTGTATGTATGTATGTATGTACGTACGTACGTGTGTACGTATGTATGTATGCATGTATGCATGTATGTTTTGTGTGGGTGTACGTTTGTATGTATGTATGTAGGTAGGTAGGTAAGTCTGTAGGTAGGTATGCATGTACGTGTGTACGTATGTATGATTGTATGCAGGTATGAATGTATGTATGCATGCATGCATGCATGCATGCATGCATGTACGTATGTGTGTATGTGTGTATGTGTATGTGTGTGCATGTACGTAATCCTAAACGCATTCCACATCTACATGTAAGTGTATGTGCATA